GGAATAAACAGCTATAGGCCGAGATGGCATCTAATTTAGCCCACCTTTATAGAGTTCCTTCGTTCTTCGGCATGATGAATAACTGTTTTTGCTTTACCGCCTCTTTCTTGTTTGTGTGAAGATGAAGAGACACGTTAGAATTTTAAATTCGCACCGTTCATATGAAATAGCATCAGTGTATTTATCATTAACATAAAAAAACAAAATAGGAATTCATCTATAAATGTTTCTGAATTTGAAATTGGATTTGCAGAACAAAAATTATGGGTATTTCAAGTTTTTTTTAAATAAAAGAAGAAATAATTTTATGATTTATTATGTAAATAATATCGAACTTACTATAATGTCAAGTTAGACAAGAAGTTCCGTATATCTGTACAGGAGTTTTTTGGGTCACTGCTCTTCTCTCTGTCACAATGGATAAATAATGGGGAAAAGTGCAAACTCAAGGTTTATATTTTGTGGTGTAGGAAGAATAGAATGGAAAATTCGTACGGGACATTGCGTTTACTCGAAAAATATATTATAATTTCATTCACTGCTTTACTATAAAATAAACCATTTCTGTCACCATTATTTTTCACTATTCAACAAAGAACTTACAGAAGGAGAAACATTGTTTTCAGAATATATCTCAAGTTGTTTAAATTAAAAAAAATCGGTTTATTTGTTGTTTCTCCTCGCTAAAAATACCTAATATCTATCTATTAATATTATATGTATTTTGTTTTTTTGTATATTGTTTAATATAAAATATGTTATTTTGTTCACTCTATACAAATATGTTCTTTGAATTAATTGGCCCACATTGTATTCATAAACGTTTTATCAATAGCCATAAAATGGTTCAAGTTGAGTTGGATAAATTTAATTATGAAATTCTCATAACAAATAGTTTTGCTATTACTAAAATGTTGTTTACAATCATTTATGTTTATTAATAAACTATTTAAGCAAAACGAAATAAGTAATTTTGTAGTACGTATTTCATATTTAAAATAACATAAGTATACAACATTACATTCTTTACAAGTTAAAGAACGTTATAACACTTTCGTAATTATTTTTAGCCACACATTATAAACAAATTTAAACAAAATATACTAAGAATTTACACGCAATATTATTACTGAAAACCACCAACTATTAAAGTAATCCTCTGACATTGATATAAACAATTGTGAGCAAATATTTATAAATTATTCGTAACATTTTAAAACTGCGAGAATTTTTAATTTGCCACTGGACGACAGTCTAACAGCCAAACGAATTTAACACGTATGGTATGTATTATGTTATGTTAAAGATTTGCGATTTATTTTTTTATTAATTTAATTAATTAATTATTATAAATATCATTGAATATTCAAATGAATATTAAAACAAATTTGATCTAATACAGGCCTAATAAAAATAGACTCCCTAAAATTCCTTTTTTTTATTTTTTGTAGCATTAATTATACTTCCTATTTACTTATTTAAAAATAAATGCTGTAAAAATTCGTAGCTAGATATTAAAAAAATACGTACATACATTTCACACTTTATTACCAATTGTAAATAAAAAGGAAGTAATTAAAATTAATATTTTGCTTTGTATCAGCAAAATATTGTTAATTGACAAAGTAAACACAAATCAACACGTAATCGACAACAACAAAATATTTAATTATACGACACACGTCAAGGCTAAAACTACTCTGTAAGTAAACCTATTAAAATAATTATAAATAAAAAGAAAGTAAATTCTGGGTTTGAATGATTTAAAGTGCGTAAACATTTTCTTGTTTTTGAGAAGGCCATGTGCCATAACTATTACAAAATATTGCAAATAGAAAAAAGTACCTATGTATATTAATTATTAAAAAAGTTTAGCGTTGTAATTCCGTCTAGTTGCAGCCTGTTTTCTATGAACAAAGTTATTGTAAGCAATATTTCATCAAAACATATGCAAGACTCGATTAAAATTAATTAGTTGTTATTATGAACCACACAACAAATATAGATAACTGAATAACATTCTAATAAACTATTACAATTTAGAGTAAGGATAATTATTAAATTTAAAAGGATTAGAAAGGATAAATCAGATTCTCTCTTCATACGAGTTAGGTGTCAAATCTTGTTTACATACTCGTTTACTTACGAAATAACCCTTCATAAAAATTTGATTATTACCTAAACAACACACTGTAAACGGTGTCATTATAATTTAAACGTAAACATCAAATTGGTTGATTTATTACGCATTCTTAAAAAAGGATATAGTTTATTTTTATTTTATTGTCTAATAGTCTACAAATATTCCTAAAATTCGTTTATGTTGGAAACATATGAAGGAAAACAGATTTGTTTAGCAATGAAATTTTTGCTTGGATGTATCGTTTTCGAGCTCTAAATAAAATAAATATCCGGAGTAAACGATTTTCACACATATACAAAGTGATTAATTTTTTTCCAATACTTTATTTTTACGAATCGAGACAATCGCTTGAAATAAAAATTCTAACATTCGAACATTTATGTCAGTGGCGTAGTTTTTTTGTCATTCGTTTACTTAATAGGCACTGTAATTACTATAGGTACCACCTAACTAATGGGTTTTTCTAAATTTATTTAATTGTGTAATTTCTTTTGTTCATTGAAAATGCGATAAGTATAAATGTTTACAAATAACTACCTGCCTTACATAAAATACAATGTAAGTACCAATAATTATTACATGTTTGAGTATATACTTCGGTCACTGAATCAGCAATGCTGATGAAGCTCAATTTAATCATTGTTTTATGTTTAGTTGTTTAACCTAATTTTTTTATAACTGCAATTAAAAATTGTAAATAGCAAAAAAACGTGAGGCTCGGACGGACAATTTACCGTCATGCGATATTTTGTTTCTTGTAGTTACATTGTTTATATTTATTCTTTTTTCCTTTGTACGATGTTTTTTATGAGATTTTATTACCACCAGAAATAATAGGAGTCGTTGTGTTAATTGTTTTTGTTTAAAAACACGTAGAAGTTCGTGACATCTCTTGGGTAAATCTATTTTACTCGATTCCGAATATGATATGAAATTAAATTCGACAAAGATTGTACAATAGGGCATTGACATGCAAACCTCACGCAAAAATTACTATCGCAATGTAATTATTCCTAAACAAAGTCATTTTTCTCAGTGTAAAAGTGATTCGGATGCAACAAAAAACGTTAAACATTTTTCCTATTGAGTTGAGTGCCGAAAATTAAGATGAGATCAAAAAGTGACCAACGAGACGCAGGAAGCTTTCCTCGGCGAATTTTCCTACTCCGAATTTCCGACAGCTCCATTCAAGGTCAATAGGGGTTGCTTAATCCCCTTATAATAGGAAAATAAAAGCAAAATATTGCCCGCTGTTTTTAACGGTTTTCCACTTTTCTTTTATCCGTTTTTTGCCAGACGTCGAACAATTCACGTCTCTCCATGAATATTACGATGGAAAAATATTTTATAAATTGAACTTCTTGGTATAAGCAATTTATTTTTTTTTTCCTTTTAAATCCATTACCTAACTTCATTACGCTGGCCTGATGAATCAATCTAGAGCAAAAAAAACATGGATTTACTTGTTTCAATAAATTTTCAGATAAGTTCACCGAACCACAATAGGGATGTAGGTTGATTGCTTTTATTAATTAATCCATACACACAGGCTACCTATTAATAATTATATTGTAAATAAAATTGCATAATTAGTTTATTTTTTAAAATAAGACATTTGCTAAACATTGTTCCTTAATTATCTTAGATACCTATGTATAATAATAAAATTTAAAATTATGTTATAAACTCAATAAATAAGAGAGCTATCACTGTATTAAGAAAATTAATGTAACTGAAAAATGTTGGTATGGTAAAAATATATAACAGTTATTCCTTTGTAATCCCCGCGAAGTATTAAAGATTGTTATTATTTTGCTAGATTGATACATAACTATGCATGCTTATGAAATTATTTTAATACATATATCGAAAGTGGTAGAGATGATGCTCACTCTGGATGTGCGAATATAATTGATCAGCAGAAAACTTAATTACATCTACTCAACTAGTGTGAAATTAAAAAGGTTATTTTCGTATGTGTTCGCGATTTGTTTATTTGGGTGTTTATAAATGTAGATGTGGGCCTGTTATACGGCCGCCGGGATGTTCGTATATTATTTAAAGAAGATGGCATGAAAAATGTTTAAAAATAAATTTGCCTTAGTTGCTAGAGGAAGTTGCATTGTTTACCCTATAAAGCAAATAAATAATTTTATGCTTTCGCTGTTCATAATGGAATAATTCATTTCTTCCAGTGTAAGATTTTATTCCAAACACCCTATCGCTGATTAAGTGTGGAGGGGCGGTTTTTCACGGCTTCCAGAAAATCTTTGCCTCCGTCAGCATCCCTGTGTAATGAGATACGGGGATGATTTCGAGTAAACGACATTGCCGGCTGCCGCTGTTTCGGTTATACTGCCCTACCGCCCCTGCTTCTCCTTCATGCCTTCTCGTGTTTTCTACCCCCCTTGTTTTGTTTACCATCAGAGACGATTTATTGTTTTCCTATCATTTGGACTAGGGCTATTCTCGTTAAAGTGTTCACTAAATTTAATTGGAATTGCATTTACAACTTTTTCAATTACTTATTTTTTATAGTAGGCGAAAATAAAAAAAAACAAATTATTCAAATAATCTATCCTAAAAGGCATTAGGTAGCCTGGTTGCCAATATTTAATATTTCATTATTTTTCGTCAGGGAATTTGGCGAAACTAAATAATTGACAAAAAAAAAAAACTTGTTATCATCAGTTTTATCTTTAACCTTCTAAATAATTATTGACAAATTATTTACTTTCTAATCATAACCTAAAGTAAATAAATAAAAAATGTTTATTGGCAATTTTAAGCTAGTAGGCTCATTTTTAACAGCAATTTCCCAGTATAACACAAGTTCTGTTCAATTTATTTTTTTTAGGGTCATATTGGAGACGTACAGTTTGAAAGCGCTGTGGGTTGGTCATCAAAAAGCCATTATTCCGCGACCGCTTCTTCTTGGCCTTTGGCAATCGGACAATCCAGATGCAGTGTAAGTACCTTATTATTTTCTATAATATATTGACTATTTAAATTTTAAAAGTGAGAGAAATATCCAATTAAATTCTGATATATCGATCTCTCTGCATTTCCTTCCATTTTTTACGGTTTATCTTAATATATTATTTTTATTATAAATTGTAAGAATGTAAACGTTCGTATTTACATACATACCTATGTATGTATATGAAATTTATAAATTAATCTGCATATACATAGGCATACATACATACACTTTAATTATTTATAACCATAAATTTACTGTTGATTCGCTATTGTAAAATTTAAGTTGACATTCAGTTGATGGACAAATGCAATATTGAAGTTTTTCTGATAAAACAGTTTGTAAAAATGTTGTACCGATTGCCGAGGCAAACAAGTAAGCATGCAAGTTGCATATCGAAGTGAATAATAAAAACGAAACATTAAATTCAGAATAACACCATTATTTCTAAAAGTTTCTCTTGATTTTTGAGTTTCTTATCAAGTCGTCCGAGAGTTTTACCCTACAACTTCGGGCTGAATATTTTATAACTTAAAAAGTTAGAAAAGGATAAAGCTTGTTTACACTCCGGTTCGTCTTAACGCGAGAGATTATGTTAATTCGTTATTTATTTTTGCTTAATAAAATGGTAAAATGTGTTAACGAAATAAATTTTCCGGGAGAGTCTGTCAACGTATTTTGTATGCATATACAGGTTCAACGCCTAACAAGGGAGTTTGTTCAAACAATAATCTCAAATCACGGGCAATTTATGGGATTTTCTGGTTAACGCTTTCAACGTATTCCTCGTTTTTTTTTTCGCTGAAACACGTTTTATTCGCGAACGTGTTGCTGTAAGATCGAGGAAAAGACTAATTTAAATTCACTCAGGATTAATTATTACAACAACCGATCTAATTAGGAAAGCATGTTCTGTAATCAAAAATAGATTTATTTGTATATCAATTTAGCATTATTTGATTACTGTGAGATTTATAAAACAAATTAAATGTAAGAAACCTATCACTGATTTTATCAGAGTCGATTAATGCGTAGAAAAACAAAACAACAGTTAAGCACACTATCATATTCGATTTGAGTAAGAGTGTATTAAGATAACTTAGATAAAATCTACACCTTGATATATTTACTTAGTTTTTGATGTTTAATGTAAATAATTTAAATGTAACATGTACACAAATTATATTATCTTAAAAAAAAGATTTTGTGATAAATTTTGTTTCCAAGTAACTAGGTTGAGTTGTTTAAACAACCCGAATTTACAGTAAACAACTTTTATAATTATACATTAATTAATTTGATTTTATCATCACAGATTTTTAATATAGGTCAATTTATCTGATAATAATCACGACTTTTATTATTTGTTGCTAACACGTTATAATTTCAACGTTATTTTGATAAATTTTGTATGCTATTAGATTTTACAAATTTGCTTGATTACTTGGGTAATTTTGAGTATTTTTCAGAAATTTCAGTAGTTTGTTGTAACTTATTTTGAGGAATGCTAATATTTACAGCGAATTAATAAATAACAATTTTGAATTTATCATACAAAGTAACCTATAAAAATAGTTACAATATAAAAGTGTTAATGCAATGTGTAAGTTGTAAGTTTCAATATGTTGTAAAGCTTTAGGTATAATGGTATTTAGCAAGCTTTGCTATCAAAGCCTATTTTCACATAGAGCCGCGTCTTTAAATCGATTTATCTATGTTTTTTGAATATCAGACTTCCAAAATGGGATATTTACTTTAAAGAAAACACAGAGATACTTTTAATAAAATACAATATCGACTCTAAGTCGAACACAAACAAAGCAATCTCTTTTTCTTCCACAAAACCGTCCAAGTTATTATGATACTATTATAGTGTAAACAACAAACAAGGGAGGAAATTTAAATTCGGTTGGGTCTTGTCCTTCGGCTTTACATTGACATCTTCTCTTTTCTTATGTCTTTTTCCGACTTCTATATATTTTCGGTAAGAAATAAAAAGGTTATTTCTTACACCCTCATAAAAATAAATATGATGCCTTATTTAGATCTGCGACATTCCAAAACGAAATTAGATAATAGCCGTCACTATTGTAAAGGAATCCTCGATATTCATCCTTTGCCCGATCTCGACCATCTGCTCCTAATTCCTTTCTTAAGTCTTTGAGCATTAAAGTCAAAACGAAAGGAACGTCGAGAGCATGATACTTTAATACGTACTGTAAACACTCCGGTCTAAAAATTACATCCGCATATTTGTGGTTTTGATTAATTTTGTTTTCCGACAGCTTTTCCTTAAGTAACTTCTTCAGTTTAATATCTTTTCTTACTTGTCGTTATGAAACAGGAAGACCTGGTTTTAAAATGTTTCATCGTTCTCTTTTGTTCATCTACCGCATAATTAATAAAAGGAATGGAGTCCTACACGAGGAGAAAGTTTAAAAATTCCGAAAGTCAAAATTTATTCTTATTAGAGAGTAAGTACGTAAGTAAAAAGGTTAGGCATACAATACAGAGGTTATTTATTTCGTAAACAAAGGTGCAAAATTATTTATTATTAGGTAAACATTGTTAACCTAGTGCTTGATAGTTATACCAGCAGGAATTTGTGCAAATGATTTAATTGCATTCGTTATTCTTACCTCTGTATAGCATGTGGTAGATTTCTCTAGCACCTATAATTAATTCTCTAATAAAATTGTTTAACAATTTGTTGGCAAAAATTCCAATAAGAAATCACCGATTTACAAAATAAATAATCATTATAACTCCATTATATTCCCCAATATATTCAAGAGCGAATAAAAAAGTTGAAACGAAAAAAAAAACAAATTCGGGTTTATCTTCCCTTCTTAATACAAATACTTCAAAGAATTTGCAAGGTTTTCAGAAAAGTACCTACCCTGTTCTATCTTGTTAATTATTATTTGTTTAAAGTCTTTTCTTGGTTCGTTGAACGCATCCAGTTAAAAATTGAAGAATGGTTTATAATTTTATGTAAACAATCGATAATTCGAATCGTTTTCGGAATATAAATTGTCCAGCAATCAGGGCCGGATTTGGATTTAAATATTTATGTCCCAAAATTTCAACCAGTAGGTAAGTCTAGATCATCTAGAAAATTTGAAGTACATATTTGCAATAGTCTAATTTCACATTAGTTTCGTAGTGTTTTAAATAGAGCTGAAAATTTTCTATTTTATGTTTGGTTACTTCATATTTACCTATACTGTGCTTTTTTTTGTTGACACAACATTTTTGTTGACCTATATTTTGACATTCTTAGAACATGTGCCAAGGAGTTCAATAGGTAATTAGTTTCGAGTGTAAAATACCAATCATACATTTAAATTAAGAACAAACCAATATTTGATGGAAAGCTATATCTAGTGAATATCTAATAAACAGATACAGATACTGTAAAAAATGTAGGCAACATTGCCAACAAAAAAATTTAATATAATATACATATATTCGCGAACAAGTTTAAAAATAACCTTCTAATTATACATACAAATACATGTTCGAAAACAAATAACCTCGGGCAATAGGCATTGTCAATTAGTAATACCGTGTTGTACCTATATTTATTTTTATTTACCCGATCTACAGTAGGTACCTATGTATAAATTAATGTTTGTTCTGTGGCTTGAAATATTCATTACGACGTTCTGTTACATATTATTATTATTCAATGTCAATAATTTCAGCTTGATAAAGCAAATTCGAATTGATTTTTGCCATACTGATTAATAAAGGGAAACAATTTATTAACAAATATTTATATGTAATTATCCATAGCACGCGGAATGTATAAATTAAAATAGTGTGTAGAGGAGAGATAAAAGGCTATATTTAAAGAAAAGCAAGATACATACCTACATATCATTAGGAGATTTCAAATGAATTAGAAAGTACTTAACACGCGTGTAGTGAATTTTATTATTCGAATATACTGCTTTATAATAAATTCTAAAGTACATTTATCGTCCAGCTGAGCAGGTAGTAGTAAAATTCCTCTTTTCACTATCCATTTATCCATAAATTTTACACCAAGTATCAACCTTAATTTTCATCGCAGAATCACCCCTTACATTTTTTCGATGTATACACCCTGTATACTAGTAAGAAGGTGAAGAGGGGTTCTTACGCTTAATTGTCTGTCCACTTGCTTCTTTAAAAACTTGCTTTATTTAATACTAATAATTAAATTGTGTAAACAAAATTGGTGAAAACACAATAAACAGATTTTCAGGAACATTTCCAATGCTGAGATATAAGTAGAATAAGTGCATTAAAAATATCGAAATTAACAATGATCTCAATCAATGCATACAATGCACTGTTATGTTCAATAAAGTCGAGCACATGGCAGAATGGCAGGAGATTTTGCAAATTCATTCAACCAACGACAAACAATGGCAAGCTGTCGATGAGGTAATAATCATCGTTGTGGGAAATATCATTGTTTGTTGTCTAAACAAATTTCGTAAATGTGTAACCGAAAAAAAAAGGATTATATAAATCCATTTAAATAGCTGATTAGTTGATGCCTATACTCATTTGCATGTATTTATAAATGACCTGTTAATATAACCAACAAATTATAATTGCAGAATTATGTTTATCAACTTCCTGGTTTAATTCCCAAGCGCCTATAAACCTAGTGACGATACTTTTATTTTAATCTCGCTTTTTCTTTACCGTCGCGTCGCATGAACGATAAAATGGGTAATTTTATTTAATTTTATAAATTGTACACTAAGTTATATTACAAAATTGGTTATTTCATTTTTCACTTAATTTGTACATTTTGTATTGAAAAGAATTTTACAATCTTTCTAGGTAATTAAGGCTTTAAACAAGGCAATTACCTAACACTAATTCCAATTTATAACTGTTATAGCAGGAAAATCGAAAATCCTTGAGTAGAAATTTTCATTTACACATAGAAGAAACCGATCGTTATTTACGAAATTTTGTTATTATGT